ATGCAAAGAGCAGGCAAAGGCAGCGCGTTCTCACCATTTAGGGAAGATGCGGGTTAGATGGCGCTAGTAAGCGATGCTGCATTTTCATTTTCTGCATCTGAAGGAATATGGAGATGAGCTTTTCAGTTCCAAGAGATTATCTGACAGCTTCCACGTCTCAGGCAATTTCTCAGCAAATCCTTCATGGTGCTCTTATCTAGACTAAAATCTCCTAGAACACATGCTTACCAGCTATAGATGCGAGATCTATGGACTGCAGTGCATGGAACAGCTGGTAGAACTGGCTCTTTCGGGCATGGTGTGGTAGCCTAGTGGCTAAAGTCATCACCTTGCATGCTCCAGGATTTCCATATAGTAATTGGTTCGTGTCCTGGCTGCTCCACTAAGGGAGTGAACCAGCAGGTGGAATATCTTTCTCTCCTTCTCTCTGTAAATCTTTCTAACAAAAATAAATACATTAAAAAAAAAGAATTGGCTCTTTTCTTGGTTGTGGAGGTGGGGGGAAGGCAGAGCCTAAAACATGTCCCTCGAAAGGGTCCCCACTGCTCAGCTTCACCTCCATTCCACCCATCTGACCGTATGTCTTACATCCGAGTTACGCCTACTTTGTGACCACGCCTCCTCCATCCGCTCCTTGCCACCCAGTCCATCTTTCAAGCCTCCTTTTAATGTAATGTTCTTCCAGGAACTTTATAAACTCTCAAGCCAACTTACTGGCACTTTGCCCTGCTCTCCCCTGGTGCCAGGTACCTCCTTCAGCTGTGGAGTGCAGGAGACTGAGATGATCAGATTGCAACCTCGAGTTCCTGAAGCTTCCCAGAGAGAGAGGCAAGGCCCTCTCCTGAGACCCTGGATCCCCCTAGCCCAGGGTCTCTCAGACGTTTGGGACTGGAGCATCCTTGCCCGAGGGGTTATGCTGTACACTGCAGGTTTGGTAGTGTCTCTGGCCTAACTGCCAGTAGCAACTTTGCCTCCAGCATGCGCAGGAAAGCATGTCAGCAGAGGGGTATGTTTAGCAACTCACATACACATCGAAACCCATGTCCTGGCTCTGGCTCTGGACTCCAGCTTCCTGCTAAGGCAGACCCTGAGAAACAGCAGATGAGGGCTGAAGTGGCTGAGGGAGACCTAGATCAAGTTCCTGGTTCCTAGATCCTGTCTGTTAGGTGTTTGAGGGAGTGAGCCAGTGGAGTTTTCTTCCATTTTCTCTCTCAGCTTCTGAAGTAAGTACACTAAAAAAAAAGTCTGCAGATCTTTCTGAAGTGCAAAATCATCACCTGTTGAAAACCACTGCCCTATTCTTAAATGAGAACCTGCTATCTACTAGCTGTGTAATGCATATTGGTTTGCTATATGACTCCACAAATGACTAAAGTAATACATAGCAGGTTGAATGAATCCAACGAATAAAGGCTGCCCTATGTTTTCATACAACTCACCATATGGAACTTGAAGTCCTTGTTCTGGCAGCCAAGTCTCCCTGGGAACCAGCCCCATTTCAGCCCCCCGTCTGTCGCACACTTGGCACCTGACCTGTGGGTACTTCCGCACCGTCTTGCCGTTTTCCTGTCCATCAGTTCCAGTTCCGTGATTACTTCAAGACAAAGAACAACTCATCTCTTTGAAGGCTCCTTCTCCCATTTCTCATATTCATTCACACAAGAAAACACCCCCACTTTTTATATAAATTCTTTTTTTTGTCAGTTACTTACCCTTTTGATTCATCAGGGGGCAGACAGGTCTCCCAAACAAGAATAGGATTTTGATAGGAGGAAGGGCTCACTCCCTGTGTTGTTTTTCTCTGCATGCTATTCTAAGCTTTATGAGCTACAGATGTTTAGCTTTGGCTGGAACTATTTTTTTTTTCTTTAGGCAAATCGCAGGTGCGTTAAATCTGTGTCATCTGTGTGGTCCCCGACTAGTTTTGCTTTTAAGAGGCACGGAGGGGGTAACTTTTTGGTATCTTGCTGTTTCATGCAGTCTTTATAAAAACTCTTGGGAGATTCTGTAGATAGGAACGCAAGTAGGAATGCAAGTAATTGGCAGTGTTCTAGAAGCCCCCTAAATACAAGCCAGGCTGTATTTGTCTTGAATTCTGAGTGTTCACACTCCGTTGCTTGGTGAAATTGTTAAAGCTGTTGGTCTTCCTGGTTTATCCTGCACCTTGTAACCATGCGCGCATGCCCTGCCTGCCTCCTGCTTCAGTTGACACGTGCAACAACTTGTTCCTGCCCTTTCCCCAGTGCTTGGCAAACTTCCCAACTCCCTGTTGGACAGGGCTGTTCTTTCTCAAGTGTCTCTTGGAAGGGTTGGCACTTTCCACGTGTGTGCTGAGCCCCTAGTCTGGTGTTCCGTGGCAGAGTTAAGGGGACAGTCCCCAGAGCTGACCCACGGGGCATCATCTTGTGATGGGATAAGCACAGAGCTGGCCTACTGGAATAGAATGGGGTGGGGAAAATCATTTCTTGCTGCGCTGTTCATTTTTGCAGCTCCTAAGAAAAAGGCAAAAGAACGCCTTTGTTCCAGCGTCATAAATTCTCTTTGGCAGATTAGCCCCGTGGGGCCTCAGCCTCTCCAGCATGCCCAGATTTAGGCTCTTGCCTTCATTCCACCACTGCATCCTGTGCTCTGTGGCTTCCCAGCCTCTCCTCTAGGCTCACCCACTGAAAGCGTAAAACCGAAACCTTCCTCTCTGCGATTGCTTCCTCCCATGGTAACACTTTTTTTTTTTTAAGATTTATTTATTTTTGTTGAAAGTCAGATTTACAGAGAGAAGGAGAGACAGAAAGATCTTCCATCCGCTAGTTTACTCTCCAAGTGGCTGCAATGGCTGGAGCTGAGCTGATCCAAAGCCAGGAGCCAGGAGCCTCTTCCAGGTTTCCTACATAAGTGTAGAGTTCCAAGGCTTTGGGCCATCCTCGACTGCTTTCCCAGCAGGGAGCTAGATGGGAAATGGAGCAGCACGGCCACGAACTGGTGCCCATATGGGATCCTGGAGCATGCAAGGTGAGGACTTTTGCTGCTAGGGTACCGTGCCAGGTCATTTCCATACCCATGCCTCAGACACACCCAGCTCACTACTATCAGGCAACTTGCTTGATCACTGTTCACTTTTCAAAGTGCACCCACTCTTTCTCTAGACCCAAGACCTTCCAATATGGCCATTTTATGGTTTCCTGGCACTCCAAGCACGTGGCTTTGTTAGTGTTTGGCGTAGCTGACCTCACCCCGCAAAGTTTTCTCTTGACTTGGCTGTGTCCTGTGTCTTCTGTTGTGTTGTCCGTTCTGAGTCCTTCATGGCCTCACCATCCACACATGCAGGTCATTTCAGAATACCCAGCTCCAGCCTCCTCCCACTTTTTCAAGATTTGTTTATTTTTATTGGAAAGAGAAAGACAGAAAGCCATCCTCCCCCAGCTTTGTTTTTAAACACGCTTCCTGATGGCCTCTCGTCGCACCCCCACCTGTCAGTTAAGCATGAAGGGCTGTCAAACGCTTCTCTTCCTGCCGACTGTCCTCTGGAGGAGCCAGCCTGTGTTCACTGTCCTTTCAGAGCCATGGATATGCAGAGGATGGCCCAGCCCCATTGAGCTGCATTCTAGCTCCGACAGGTGCCATAGGAAGCTCCTTTGAAAAGTCATTGCTGTTGGCCCCCACTCACAACACATCACTACCGTGCTGGGCATGTGGAGCTGCTGCTTCTTTCTAGTTTTAGAAGCCACTGTCTGACACAGTGGTTTTTCAGGTTAGTGACTGAGCCCGAGGAGACGAGGGTCTGGTGAGGTGCACAATGTCATTGCCTTCTTGATCTTTTTTTTTTTTTTTTAAGATTTATTTTATTTTTATTGGAAAGGCAGATATACAGAGAGGAGAGACAGAGAGGAAGATCTTCTGTCTGATGATTCACTCCTCAAGCTGCCATAATGGCTGGAGCTGACCCAATCCAAAGCCAGGAGCCAGGAGCTTTTTCTGGGTCTCCCATGTGGGTGCAGGGTCCCAAAGCTTTGGGCCATCCTCGACTGCTTTCCCAGGCCACAAGCAGGGAGCTGGATGGGAAGTGGGGGTGCCGGGATTAGAACTGGTGCCCATATGGGGTCCCAGGTGTGCAAGGAGAGAACCTTAACCACTACACTATCGCGCGGGGCCCTCTTGATCTATTTTTATCCATCCTTCCATGAACTTGGCTAACACAGGCCTAGGATCTTCACCAGTGCTAAATTCTCACATCTATAAAGACAAACAATAGTGTCTGTGACACATACTGGGGACGTAGTTCAGGCATCCTGAATCATTCATGTCGGGACCACTGTTAAAATTTTCAGGCCTACAAGAGTAACTTAGTAGATGCCCAATTCCTGTTGAGGGAGCAAAACTGCATCGATAGTAGAAAGTGATGGGAGATTGACAGACTCCCAGATTCCCATGCCTTTCTTCCTTTAGCTACTGCAGGAGCTCAGCAGTTACGCGTGCATTCCATGTGACAGCTCCTCTCCACACAGCCTTTCCTGAGTCACCCTACATAGACACGTGCGGGCAGGCCCCGAGCAGTTGGGGTCTGGATGCAGCGGGCTGACAATCCTGCAGGGACATGGGTATTTTGGGTCTCTGTGGCCTGAGATCACTACTGACAGCACTGAGCCCTACTCTCTGGCATCTGTCCCACACAAGACACCCACACTCAGTGCCAGCTGGGCGTCTGTATTAACTTCCAATCCGCCACTCTCTTCTTCTTCAACACCGTCCAGTCCTTTTCCCAGTATTTGCTTTTCATTCACCTGTATGTGTCATCCATTTTCTTCCAGATTCTAATCTGCAAGCCCAGACACATGGATGGGGGAGTAACTGGGCGAAATGGTCTCAGTTGGAGCCAATACTTGAAACATATTTCAACTTTTCCAAGTTAGACTAAATTAGCTATCAACTCTGATAGTATCATAGGCTATTTCTTTTAACTGACCAAAACCGATTTCAAAGACAAAAACTATTGACAATACAAATAGTGATGTTTGCTTTAAAGTCTTTATTCTGAATATAAAAGACAGAAGTCTTCTAGGATATAACAGAGTTCTTTATGTGGAAACATTTTTACAAGTGAAAAAATAAATACCTCTTGGAATAAAGGCTTATATGCGAATATGCGCCATAAAAAAGTAGAGTTTTCATATCTGACAAAATGTCTGTGCAAAGAAACAAATGCATAAACACAGTACTGCTACATTAAGGCAATATGGAAAGTATAGTCAGATGTCTCAGTAAAGTGACAGTGTAGGTTTCTAGCTGTAACTCAGCTAGTATTGCACCCGGTAAGGTCGTCAGGGTCTCCCAAGAGCCGAGGAAATCCCGCCAGCTGACCAGCTTTCAAAATGCCAGAGAGGGAGTGGAAAATGACTTGAAGAAGGCAGAGAACCCAAAGAAGCAAAACTCCTCGAAAACAGACCGAGGAACAACCCAAAGTCACTACTATAGCGTTTACCTAAGAAAATACTTTAGACAAACGGGAAAAGGGGATGCAGACAGCTACGATAAGGCTTGACGGTTCAGTTCAAGCGAGGCAGCTTGGCCTGGGGAAACTGAGAACAGCCCAGAGGACCGGCGGGAAGCTGCAGCACCCAGCCAAGGGAAACGCTCCCCCACGCCTATCTTAAAATAATGTATTTCACCAACTTAGGAGCCTCCCAGAGTGCTGGACTACTCCATAGCATCTGATAACCTAGTGGTAGCATTTGATAATCAAAAGGCTGGGCCGCTGAACCCCTCTTGGGATGGGGCTGGGGGCAGAGCGTGGGAAGCCGCCCACGGGAGGTTGGTTAGCTGCCTTCGCCTAGCCAGATGGTTTGGTTGAATTCAACAACACGGTGCTCAGGTTTTAACAAGTCTCAAAATTGATCCTGAAAATCCGTTTGCCTTTCCTAAGCATGCTCAACTGAGTTATAAAAACAGGAATGACATTAAAACGGCGACTATGTAAGAAAAACAGATTTCCTATTAAAAAAAAATGTCTGGAGCTCCGTGACCGTACAAAAAGAACCAGGTAAATTTCATAAAACTCACATTCTTACAAAATCTGCTGCAGGTAGGAAACTTACCTTGGGATACACCGAGGAGACTTAGACCATCATTTCCTAAAGAGCACCCCTGCTTTGGGGGGGCGGTTTGTGGGGGACAACTTTGCCACTTCACTGACATTACAGGTGATTTTATCTATTCCTTTGTTGGATTCCCCCAGAAAGCAAAGTCCAAGGAAAAGGTGTCCATGTTCCAGGGCCAGTCCCACCGCTGGGGTCGCTGCTTCCACGCAAGGATGGGTGAGGAGCTACAGTCTCTTTTTTCATTTTTCACTTTTGTGTTTGACACGTCGCATGGCAGATGGATGGGAGGGGATCCATCTCTCTAGGAGTCTAATGGTGAAGAACACGGAGACACGGCAGGTCCAGTCCGTGCCGCAGGCCTGCTCAGATGACAGCGAGATTGAGCAGACTGGTGTGGGTCGGCAGGTACACGTGTTGGACGTGTTCCACACGGGACCTGCAGACCGGGCAGGACTGCAAGAGAGAAGGCGACAGGGCCTGTTAGACACCTCTGCGGGCCTGGACGCCCCCGGGCCCCTGCTGCCAGCTGTGCCTAGGCTCTTGGGTCAGTGTGTGGATATAGTTTTTTTTTTTTTGAAGCTTTGGATTGCTAGAAGCCTCTGCCTCTTAATGGGTTTGCAAGGTCCTCTTTTACAAGGACTTCAATGTGAGCAATACGAACACGCATAAACTGAAAGACATCAATTTGATTTATAAATTCTAAGCAAGGCACAATGAGCACAGTGATGACATAAGACTTCCACGCATGACGGGCCCCTACCGCGGACTAGCACATCCTAGGCAGTGACCGCGTGGCCTCAGCCCAGCTGCGGTGGGGTGCCGGGGGGGGGGCAGGATGGCTCTGCACGCGTGGACCCTAAGGGGCAAGTTGGGCACAAGAGTCACAATGCAACGTGGACAGGACAAAACAAACCCACAACTGTTCTTGGCAGCGTGAGCCGCTCCTAGAAGGACACGGGTATCCTATGGGCTCATCATTTATCTCCAAAAACAGCCCTGAAGTGAGCAGCTTTCAAAGGACTAGATGTTGTTTAGGGCTGCTTTTACACAAACCTAGAGTGACATTTAGCAAATGCTTCTGAGAAACGAAACCAAATGAAAAAAATCATTTTCACAGGAAATCTGAGGTGTGAGAAAGGAAAAAAAAAAAACCCTATTTACATTACTCTTACTTGTGGGTTTATTTTCAGCTTGTTCACAAGCAACAGACAATCCAAGAGGGCCCCAGAGGCAAATGTAATCATAATGGAAATTAATCATAAACACTCACTGGACAAACAACAGGTGGATAATTAAGAGTTAATTGTCACTCGCAGCCATAAGTACGCTTTCCCAAGTATTTTAGGTAAATAACACAGCCTAGCTACCAGACCGGCAGACAGTAAGTAGCAGGGTGAAATGCAGGCATCAGGCCTGCATTTCAGTCCTCGGTCAGCCACAAATCAGGTGCACCGCCTTGTCGATCTAAGCGCTGTTCCCTGAACACCAGCAGAGCCAGTGATCTAGGCTTCGTTTACTGCTGGGAACAGCAAGCTCACCCAGGAACAGCCTCAGCGAGCCATGCCTCTGGGCGTTCTGGCTGCCTGTGCCGCAGTGCCAGTGCTAGCGGGCACGGCGCGGGCCTCACCTGCAGCTGGGCGGCGCAGCTCTCGCAGCACACGGTGTGGCCGCAGGGACAGAAGGTGGAGTTGATCTCCTCCTCGCAGCACACCATGCATAGCATGGCCTCCTTCAGCTTGCGCAGCTTCTCCTGCAGCGCCCGCGTCTGCTGGCAGCTGAGGCCCTCGCAGCTGCTGCAGTTCATGCTGCTCTCGGAGGACTTGAGCGGGGAGCTGGGAGGGCTCTGGTCGCTGCGCGACATGAGGTCCACAACGCCCGCGTTGTACAGGGCCCTCCTGGCGTGGTCGTACACCTCCTTGGACGTTCTTCTGATATCGAAGACGTACTTCTTGCCCAGGTTGATGTTCTCATTCAGGAACAGAGATGCCAGGTGGCCCTTCAGGTCGCGACTGTACTGCATCATGACGGCGCTGGTCACTGTGTCACACCTGCGAGGGGTTAAACAGTGGTCACTTTACCACCAGGGAGTCCAAGCAGCTCCCTGACACAGACCTTGCTGCACACTGATGGGGAGCTCCTCTAATGCTCTCATCCTGGGGACCCCTCAGGATCCCCAAAATACCTCCAACAGAGCAGCTGCAAACACAGCGGGCAGGGGGCAGGCAGCCCAGCCCCTCTTCCTGGATATGAGGGAGAGCCCTAAGCAGCTTTGGAGGGGAGAGGTCACTTTTCTCTGGAGCCTTGACCTTCCTGTTTAAATGTCTACCAGTTCTCTATTCTGTGCTAGAATCTGCGCAGCTGTCTGAATAGAAGACATTTTAAGACAGCCCACCAACGAGATTTTTTGGGTATAGCTGTGCCAATATCTGAGCTCAACTCCAACTTGGCTTTCTCAAAGCAAGCACCCCGTGAGGCAAGGTCATCAGTAATCTGTTCAAAAGATCCTTGCTGTGTACGCTGGGAGGAATTAGGGCAACAACTTTCCCAGCCAGGTGGGGGGACTGGCCTGGGTCATCCTGCTGCTGGGACAGGGCAGAGTGGCAGTGGCGAGGCCCAGGCACCCAGGGCTGTCTCAGGGCTGCAGCGGGAAGAGACCAGCAGGGAAGTGTGTCTGCACAGCAGCGCCCACAGTGTGCTTTCTCGGTGTAAGGATTCAAGCATCACTGCAGCCCACTTCTGATCCTATGTAAAAGTCCCGGACACAGCACTGCACACCACTCTGCAGAAACCTGCCTGTCACACCAACGGCAGAGCTGCGACGCCAGCGCCCCGAGCCCCGAGCGGTACGTGCCTGTAGAAAGCGTGCGTTTCTGTGATGGCGCGGTAGAGCCCGCTGGCCGCCCTCGTGCTGATCATCTTAAACAGGAGCACGATGCTGTTCCCGGACTCCTTGGTGACCGTCAAGTACACGTTCTTTCCTGACTGCGTGGCCATCTGCACCACAGGATAAGCTATCCTGCAAGATGGGGAAGAGTGAGCATGCCCAGAAGGTGTGATTTATCACAACGCGTGCTTCTCTGTAAGGCCCTTGTTTGTTCCTTCCCAGCAGGACAATGAGATACTTAATCTGAAGGTGACCTATGACCTCCTAGGCCATCCTGGAACGCTCTCCCTGTGTCACACAGGCATTCAGAAGAGCAGTTTTGTAACCTGGGGTTCAACAGGTCCGTGGAAAATGTGTGTTCTGAAAATTCATGTTCAGTTTCCAAATTTTTTTTTTGGCGGGGGGGGGACCAAGATAAGCTTATCTTTTAATTCTACTTTCCAAGGACTTTAGGAAATAACTGAGTATGAAAAGTGCTGGAGTAAGTCCGGGAGCATGCAGAGGTCAATTTAGAGATTCTACTGCCTCCCTTGACCGTTGTCCCACGCCACAAGCAGGGAGCTGAGTTAGCACTTCAACAAACAACCATGTGGCTATTAGGCACATGCTAAAATGAAGCATTCTGCCCTCTCCATCCTTTTTGTCCTTGCGACAGACAGCTACAGACACACAGATGCGCTGAGGCCTAAAACCCCTCAGGACCCGGGTACCTGTTAATCGGGCTGAAGTCTTCTTTGCAGATGGAGATGCCTTCGGGGCCCACCCCAATGAGGAGCTTCTGTCCCTCACTGTCCCTCACAGAATGCCACTCGATGCCATAGTTCTCCATGGCGGACACGATCTGCAGAACCTGGTACTCCGCCGAGGCCTGGCTGGTCCCCTCCAGCTCCTTATGCTTGGCCACGATGCTGTAGGGGAGCGGGAGGGCAGAATTACGCAGGCAGCTAAATCAGACACTGCTCGGAGATGGCGCAATGCTCCTGGTGAATTAAGCGAACTCTGTGGTCTATGAGAATCCGAAAATCCTAAAACTCTAGTTTCATTTATTCAGGACATTTATTACAAAACACTCTTGAAAACATTCGTCGAGAACTAGACTTTCAAATACTCAGTAATATTCAGTAGAAAGATTCAATAGAAATTTGGGGAGGTTGGATAAGAGTGAATTGGAAGAAGAGTTAGGGGGGGAAAAACAACCCTCGAGAAACCCACAGATGACAGACTCTGCTGTGAGGGTCTCTCACGCCTTCATCTACACACACCTTCTCAACTCCAGCACTCCGACAGCAGCCTCACCTGTTCAGGGCCGAGCTGGAGAGCTCCTTGGCGCATAGCTCCTCGTAATTGTACTTGGCAGTGTTCTGGTTGTAGTCCCCGAACTTGGTCTGGGCCAGCAGGGCGCAGAGCTCCACTGCCTGCTCCGGCGAACAGGGCAGATGGCCGGCCAAGAGGGCCTCCTTGATGTGCAAGAAGAAGATATGCCTGCAAAGCAAGGTGGCAATGAAGCCTGAGCTCGGATGTGGCCGGCTACCACCACGCTCCACCTGTTCACCAACGTTACACTTTTCAGGAAGAAGACTGGGGCAAGTTATAAAGTCACACGGACAATGCCTGAGGAACTCTGATTTCCCCCTCCCTGCCCCCTGCCGATGAACATTAAGGCGAAGAAAGTTTAAGGACTAAGTTTCTCTGGGAAAAAACTGTAAGTCAAACACATTAAGTTTGGCACCAGGTCATACCATGGGTACACAAGTTTCTGCATTGTACAGTTCTAAAAATCATTTGATTCAGAAGAAAAAAAAAAACCTTGTTTTTTTTTCTTTTTGTTTTTTACAGAGAGGAGGAGAGACAGAGAGGAAGATCTTCCATCCGTTGATTTACTCCCCAAGCGGCCGCAATGGCTGGAGCTGAGCCAATCCAAAGCCAGGAGCCCTGAGATTCTTCTGGGTCTCCCACATGGGTGTAGGGTGCAAGGCTTTGGGCTATCATCGACTACTTTCCCAGGCCACAGGAGCTGGATGGGAAGTGGGGCGGCTGGAATTAGAATTGGCGCCCATATGGGATCCCAGCATATGCAAGGCAAGGACGTTACCTGCTAGGCTACTGCGCCAGGCCCCAAACCCTTGATCTTAATGTGGATTCTCATAGATCTAAAGGAACTCAGTCTGACAAGACCCTCGCAGTACCTCCAACACCCCCTTTCCCTTAGTCTGGCCGGAATCTACCTGCTGGCAGCAGGTACCACCTTGATACCCTCTAGCCCCTCAGCTGGTTTGAGACTACGGTCATCATTTCCCTTCCTAAATCCACTTCTCCCGGTGGAAACCATTACAGGCTGCACACTGTCTTCCGAGCTGTGCTCTGCTGCGACTCTGGGAGAGGCCACCTTGTAGCCCTTTGACTCCCATCCAAATACATCACTCCGGTGCTCAGAATCCCTCAAGGGCTTCCTCTTGCGGGTGGTAGCATGAACTCGGGAGGTGTGCAGAGTATGGCCCCGCCCCTTGGCCCCATCCACACCCCACCTTCACACCATCTGTTCTCCCTGGAGGCACGCCTGGCTGCGGTGGCATGGCTGCTGCTGTGCCCGCTGCCCTGAGGGCCTCGCTCCCAACCTCCTCAGGCGGCTAGCCTTACACCGACGTGGCCTACAGTCTCTCTCCGGTACAGGAGGTACGTGACATGACAGCAGCCACGTGGGCTGCACACACTAACTGCGCAAGCATCTGTGACATCCTTGGGCTCCGCAAGTGCGCATGAAGTTGCTTACCGGGGCCTGCGATGAGTTTACACTACAACCTGCGTTTCACTCTGTCCCAGCCTGTCCCAGCTGTACACAAGGCTGAAAGGAACTGAAAGGTACACCTAGGAACTCGGGAAAAATCCAGGTAGCGTCTGTGTTGCCTCCAAGTCTGAAGAGAAGATCTAAACGTGGGGACAAACTGGCCCAGGTTGTTAAATTTGTCTCTGGAAAATGCCACGTTGCAGCCTACCGCTGATGGCTCGTGATGGCCTCTGACACACGCTGACAAGCTGCTAGGGTTGGGTGACTCACGGCCACTGGTGATGCCCACTCTGACCAAGTCAGTCTCGCTTCAGTCCTCAACACTGCTTCTGCACGGTCAGCCCTCCGTAGCCACACAGTTCCAAAGTCACACAGTCAATTGAATGTCAAAAATAAAATTTATACAGATCGTCTGAGTTAGGAGAGGCAGGGACGTCTTCCTCCTTGTTATCATGCCCTGAAGGTTGGAGCTGTCACAGTGTTTTCGCTGTGTTAGTGTTTTCGCTGTAAGTCAGGCTGTGGGAGGTCCTGCCTGGGTCACATGTAAATATTACAATTTCTTATGCAAGGCACCGGAACCACTGCGTAGTTCCCTGAAGCAAATTCCCCGTGGATCCCAAGGGGTCACGGCGTGCCATGGTGTGTGGGACACGGTAGGCCGAGGGACCAGCATGACAGGGTGGGAAGGGAAAGGAGGGGCAGGTGTGGCCTCCTGGAGAGAGCAGGGAGTCTCAAACAAGAGCTGCTCATCCTCCTTTAGCGGGCAAGTGCTTCAGCCCAACCTTTTGCGTCTTCGACAGTGACAGAAATAATGGGGGATGGTGAAGCCTCCAGAGTGTGCTCTCCTCCTTATTCAAGGCTTCCAAAAGAAACCACAGCCAGAATGCTCAACAGCCTGGGGAGGATAAACATGACTGTTGTTAACCCAAACATCTGCAAGTCTTTAAAGTGTTTCTGACACACGGGCTAAGCTGAGGAGGGGGCCTCTGCTGGGGCCAAGAACTCGCCAAGGAAATCATGGGACCTGGAAGGGTGATGTGAGGACCGAGGCTGAGCACCCTTCTATGCCTAGTGCTCCCAGCCCGGCTGGGGACCCCCCGAGACTCGCCAGGTGCTCTGTAGCCATGGTGAACTCACCCCTGCCTCTGTGTTCAATCGGTGGGCGGTGTGTGATTGGAAAGCTGCTTGCTCAGAGACACTGTGTGCTTAGACTTCAGGGGATCTCGCAAGCTAAGCCTTGCCCGTGTTGTGACCACGCGATACTGTGTGTGTAAAACGTCTCTCAACTTGTTTTCCAACTGGGGAGTTAGAAGCCACTTCCTGTTTGAAGAAGTGGTCGGCGAAACAACAGTTTCAAAATCGGTGCCAGTTCCTTTCCCAAGTTCAAGCTCCCTGCTGGAGCAGCAGCTTCCAAGATCACAGCTAAGAGGCAGTCACCAACTGTAAACAGGGGTGGGCAGCCTGGGGGGAAGCGGGGAGCTGAGCCTCTCCTGCAGGTGGGGCACCAGGCGAGAGGGGGTGGCGCCAGTGCAGCTGGCCTGCTCCACGCACCCCTTCCACTCCGGACTACCAGGGCTGGAGGAATCCCCTCCTCACAGCTCGTGGAAAATTTCCCACAGGCCCTCGCTTCATCTGGCAGTTTCATAGCGGTAAGGCAACCTTTTTCAATCTGGGTTTATAAGGCGGACATGTTTAATGGTTCCTCTTTGGACAGAATTAGCCTTTTAAGACAAATGAACGCATTGCATCCTATGAAGAGACCAGGGGCAAACTGGCGGTGTGTGTGTGTGTGTGTGTGTGTGTGAGAAAGAGAGAGAGACAAAGCCCCTGCTCTCCAGGAGAATGGCATGGGGGGAAGTCCCTGCTCTCCAGCGCGACATGGAGGAGTCACAGCCATGAGGAGGGTGGCATGGTTCCAACAAGGACTCCGACAGTGGCGCAACGTGCGGCAGTGGCTTTCAGCGCAGGATTTTCTCCTATTTCCCCTCTCAAGATCTGGTCCTAGATTTGCCTTCTCCTTTTCAGTGAAGTGGGTGAAAGGTTGCCAGTGGTAAGCAACCCAGCAGATGTGGTCAGCGAGGAAGATGACATAACTAATTCAATAGAGGATACACCCTACAACCACTGACAAGAAGAAAACTTTGGGAAAAATATCATCTTTGTCCTAAGAAAATGTCTGTGCACATGGCCTCTAGGGATTTCAGTGCAAACTGCATTTTTAAAACATTCTTCAGGTTTTGCTGTGAAACTCATTCTTTAAAAAGGTTCACCTGGGCCCGGTGTGGTAGCTTAAAGTGCTTGCCCTGCGTGCGCTGGGATCCCATATGGGTGCCAGTTTGAGTCCTGGCTACTACACTTCATGACAAATGTAAAGTGACTATATCCAGACTATTATACCTGAAATTTATGTTACTAACCTAAAATATCTTTGAAATGGCAGAGTAGTTGCTTTAAAAACCAACAATAACAACAACAACAAGCCCTCCTAGTTAGCAGTAGTGGAACTTTCTCTCTGTGAGAAGCTGTCCTGAGCTGGCTGGTGGTGGGGAGTAAGGAGGGAGCACAGGGAACCCTGCTCTCCAGGTCAGACCCCTATACATGGATCACAGGACCACATCCCACCAGCAACTCACTTAGCCATGTCACTGTATTTTAAGTATTTTAAACTAAAGTCTGACTGCTAAGTTATACTTAAAAACAATCATATGAAGGTCATGAGAGGGGTTTTTTGGGGGGAAGGGGAGGAAGGTATTACTATCTTAAATTTCAGCAAAACAAAAATCAGTTCAAGATGGATTACACAACATCGTAAAAGTTAAAAGCACAATGCTTTAAAAGCTCAACATGACCAGGGCGTAGCAAAGGCTTCTTAGGATACAATCAGCAAAGAAACAATTACAAAAGCAAAGAAAATGTATAAGCTAGATTTCACTAAAATTGAAAACTTTCTACCCACTAAAGGACATCAGAGAAACAGGCAAGCTACAACAGGAAATACATTTACACAGTACACATCTGGCAAAGATCTGGTACCTAGGAAATCTGGAGAATCTGTGCAATTCCAACAATGAAACTGGTCCATGACTTGGTAGATCCTTCACACACATGGAAGGGCCCCATGCACATGAAAACGCGAGTAATTCAACCAATCATCAGAGAGATGTAAACTGAGGCTACCATAGGCCTGAGGAGGGGCTGGGGGGAACTGCACTCTCCTCCCTTCCTCACCGAGTACAGAACAGTGGGACTGCTTTGGGAGCAGGTCTGGCAGTAACTTATAAGACTGAGTCATGACCTGCTCTGCCACCCAACTTTACTATTCTTAGGTATTTACTTAAGAGAAATGAAAACACATGTGCCTGCAAAAAAAGATTTGGAAGAGGGTCCATGGCAACTTGGTTTCTGAAAGCTGGAAAACAGGTGTTTTCAGTCGGAAGCTGGACAAAGCAACAGGATGTTCACATGAGGAACGCCATCCAGCAGAAGAGCCATGGACGCAGACAGAAGCATATACCCTGCCAGACTCCACAAGCACAACGCTGAACACGCACACCTGGGAATCTATGGTGGAAAACATGCCACAGTGGTTGTGGAGTGGGGAGGAGAGGCGGGACATGAACATTAGGGAGGAGGGAACCTTCTGGAGGGATGGCTATGATCTAAATCTTGATAACAGTTTTGTTAGAACAAGAAAATC